ACGATAATAATAATAATGATAATAACAATAATAATAATAACAATAATAATAATAACAACGATAATAATAATGCTAATAATAACGATAATAATAATGATAATAATAATAATAATAATAATAATAATAATAATGATAATAACAACAATAATAATAATAATAATAATAATAATAATAATAATAATAATAACTCCCAGATGGCTGAGCTCCTCACCCCAGAGGCCAGACACTCTTCAGGAGAAGCTCATTTCTGTTTGTACCCGTTTTTTGGTCACTACCCAGAGCTTGTAGCCATAGGTGAGGGCAGGGTCATACAGTCGAGTTACCAAAATGAGACCCAAGTTGTGATAAACTGTTTAATTATTGAGGTATAAATGTCTACTAATTAGTTTATGAACAAAAACCGACAAATCTAAAAGGTTTGTGTCTGTTATGTGACTGATAAGACGATATGTGTGGTCTGGATTTGTGTGTTCAGGTGTCCATCGAGAGAGGAGTTTCCCCTGATAGAGTCGGAACACAAGGCTCATCTGAGGAGGCTCAAAGGTCAGGAGAACATACAGACTAACTGAATCACATTTCAAATACCTGAACCAGAAAAAGACAACATGGTAACTTAGTCTTACTGGTGGCTACGTGTTCTCTACCACAAAACGATGAATACTCAGGTTTTCTGTCACCCTTTGGTCCTAAGTAGTTGTTTAAAGGTTTCCATACTTTTACCAAATACAGAGGTTCCACTGGACTGAACAACTAACAAGTTAAATGAAGCAAATAACAAGTCGACCAAAGAATCAGCAGGAAAAACAGCAGCTGGACCGTTTCTGCTGCACTGGTCTCCTCCTGTTTAGTCTCAGCTTGTTTCATACAAATACAATTAACTAAAAATTGAACTGAATAGTTATTTACATGAACTGTATTTTAAACTAAAGCGTCCTGCATCAGGTCTGCCCGACCTCTCTGATCAACATGAACCAGGGAGACCTATGAAGAGGCAGGCTTTGTGTTTCTGCACGTCTGTTCTAGACTGATGACTGATTGATTGTCATCCAATCAGCTGATCTGCAGCACAAGGACCAGGAGATGCTGGAGCTCCTGCAGGAA